AGTAATGATTTTTTTTTTTTTTTGCTGACATAGATTAGCCCTGGGCTAACATCCATGCCCATCTTCCTCTACTTTGTGTGTGGGATGCCTGCTACAGCACATCTTGATGAGCAGTGCATAGGTCCGTCCCTGGGATCTGAACCTGCGAATCCCAGGTGACTGAAGCAGAGTGTGTGAACTGAACCATTATGCCACTGGGCCGGCCCCAAGTAATGATTTTAAAAAAAAAAAATAAATATTATATCTCTTTTCTCTAAAAGGGTAAAAAAGAAAAAAATTACATCCCTGAGAACAAGTGACTCTACGGATCAGATCTTGGTTACTCAACAACATTGTACACTACAAGGAGACATGAGTAATTCCACATCTGGGACAGGAAGAGAACTGTTTGAGCTTCAGATGTCAAATTGTGCCAGAAAGTAAGAGATTCCTCAAATGTTCATGAAGGGATGTCTAAAGGACAAAAGAACCAGTGTGATGGGATCCCACTGTTGACATTTGGGTGCATTTCAGCATCAAAGGGAATGATGACTAAAAGCAACTATTACACATAGAGTAAATAAAAATCCATGAGTCCATAGTGATGAGAGAGAAAGACAGAGACAGAGATAGAGAGAGAAGAAAAATAATTGTTCCCACTGATGGTGATTATTACAGTAAATGCTTTCTCAGAACACTGATAATTAAAGGGAAGAAATTAAGCTTCTACCCTGCCTTATAAGAATAATTGTAGTTTATCCTGACTTGATGAGGAAATGTTCTTTTTACAATAAAACATTTAGGTAAGAAAATTGTAAAGAGTGTTTAAAATAGAAAATTATTGTTAACAAATACCAATGACATTACAGATTCAGGGTAAAATCATTGATGGATACTCAACCATTATGTGAAAACCTGGGGGCAATATGACTTCCTCTGATGACAATTATTATCCAGCAGATTGCTAGGTAATTTCAAAGGGGAAAAGACACATTTACAAAGAAAAGACTTGGCTACCACTAGCTGAACAAAGAGAACAAAGCTAACATCTCTCATAGTGGGACAACTTGTCATGACAGGCTTCCTACTAGAGTTCCATTTGAGGGAAACAGCATGCAGAGGACATTTTCTTGCCAAAAATGTTTAACCTTGATGTAATAAGGCATTCTGATCTAACTTCTAATTTACAGAAACTGGGAATAGGGAAACAAGTTAATTAACATCACACAATAACAATTGGATAAGTCCAGAATATTCAACAAAAATCTGTTTGTATGTCATGGTAATAAAAGGGCTGAGTGACCATTCTAGGTTAAGAGAGCTTGAGAAACATGACCAAGAGTAATATGTGGACTGCAATTGGCTCCTTATTAGAAGGAAGAAGATCTATAAAAAACATTGGGAAAACAGTATGAGGATTGAGTCTGGACTGGATAGTGGACAATAAGCTTTCTGATGTCTGTAGGAGTGAATTGTCATATCTAGAGCTTACTTTGAAGAGAGTCAGCAAAATATTAGATATAAGTATTCAGATAGATCCATATATATATACATATATTTGGAAATGTGGCAAAATGGGAAAAATTTTGAATATAGGAGGGAAAACATGGATGTTCTCTAGCATACTTTTAACTTTTCTGAATGTATGAAAATTTTCATAATAAAAATTGATAGTAAAACTAATGCTAGAATCACATCAATGTTTTAACATTTATCATTGGATATCAATAGTGCTATAACACGATAAGTCAAATTCTTCAATGTTATAAGCCACACTTTCCAATCAAAGACGCTTACTCCTTGACCCCAAGTTATACCTTGATGACATTATTGTAAATTAAATAAGACATTCACAGAAGGACAAGTCTACATGATACCTGTTATATGAGGAATCTAAAATAGTCAAACTCATAGAATCACAGAAAATAATGGTGGTCACCAGGGGATGGGAGGAGGGAGAAATCAGAAGTTGCTAATTGTGGCCATGAAGTCTCATTTCTGTAAGATCAATTAGTTCTAGAGATCTGCTGTATAACATTGTCTGCATAGTTAAATATATTGTATTGTATTGTGTTGCACGCTTCAGAATTTGTTAAGAGGGTAGATCTCATGTTAAGTGTTCTTACTATAATAAAATAAAAATAGAACAAAAAAAGTAACAGCACAGAAGCAGACATAGAATAATGTGTTGAAGAGTTAATGTAAGTGTAAAAATTGAGAAGAATCAGACTAAGACTGAGTAAATCACAACGTCTGCATTACGTTTCTGCTAAATGTTCCTGAGTGTTGATTTTTCCCACCATTAGTATCAACATAAAACATCCCTCTAGCCTGGATGACTTTCAAAGTCTCCAGTTCACTTTTCTCGTATCGTTGCTTCCTATTCAAAGATTGGTGAAAGCAGAGATACTGAGACAAAGGATTCAGACATCCAAACCACACAAAAACCACTGACACCTACCTGATCTTATTTTCAATCTTTCATTATTTACTACGCATTCCATGTTTTCAATACCTTCCTTTCTGTACACAGTTCCCCCCAAATCACTGTCACCCAGCCTATCTCTGGACATCCTTCACAGCTCAGGGAAATGTCACCTTTCCTCTAATGTCTGGTAAGAATTCCAAGCCTCTGTCACCTCCTTTACTTTCCCTAAATTTTTATGCACAACTTAATATTGGGGTCTCACTACTTTTTGCATTAAGACTTTACAAAACAAAGATACAACTATGGGTTCTATGCACACCCATGTAGACAGAGTCTCTGCTCTCTAGAATCTTCTGTTCCATAAAGGTAGGATAAATAGGAGGGGAGGTGAAATAGACATCTGGCAGTAGTGCAAGAAGGAGATGAAGAACAGAAAGGAGAGGAGGCCAAGGGTGCTCACCTGGTTGCAGACGGGCTTGTACTTGAGCCCTGGCTTGTTCAGGATCTTCTCCAGCTGCCTGCGGTTAAAGTTGGACACCCCAATGGACTTGGTCAATCCTGCATCCTTACACTTCTCCATGGCCTGGGGAGGAAGGGGTGGTGAAGAATCATTTGTGCAGTTGGCTATAGATCAAGTATAAGTGCAAGAAAAATCTGTTAAAAGGAACAACTGTCAAGAAATGACAATGAAGCCAATTGACATGATAATCAATAAGAGAAAAAGTAGTAAGTTAAACAGGGGAAGAAGGTAGTGACAGCGAGAATAAGAATTACTGTCTTCAGCTTAGAACAATGTGAGAGAGTATTACACATTGAAGGAAACAGATACCTATCCTCATTGTCCCAAATTCTTCTGCTCCATTTCTCTCTGTAAACATTTCACTAATGATTTCCTCCACACCAATACAGCATATTTGTTCTTTTAAAGTTTATGAAGGTGCATAGCCTATTCTCACAAGAGAAAGAAATGAACCAGATTCTCCTTCTCCCAGCATCCACTCTGTGCTCGCTACTCCAAGCACTCACCTCCCAAGTGCCACAGAGATCCACTGTGTCAAATATTGCTTTTCCATGTTCATCTTTTGGATAAAGTTCCTCCCCCGGCTGAAATAGAGGCAGCCATTTTAGTGATGTCACAAAATAATTTCTCCATACTTAGCCAGGCTGCCAGGGATATCTAGGGCCAAGACACAAAACCTCCATGAGGTAGGTGGTGTAACATTCTGGATACTAATATTTGTAAAGTGATTTGCATATGGAGTTCTAAGGAATGTCTTTAGGAGACAGGCTTCCTCTCATCTCTTACACTTATTTTAGGTTTCAATAAATACTATTTTCCTAGGTCTTAAAGGGGCTCATAGTGACTTAGATTATCCTTATCTACCACCTATATTTTCCACTTGCAAAATGCCTCCCTCGCACTGGCAATGACAGTAGGTTACATGGATTTATTTCCAGAATAACTATGACAATCTTGACCCAGGCTAGACAATCACAATTCCTTATCCCTCTGAATATTCAATGGTACAAGGGCAGGCACATGAACCACATAGTGTCATTTGAGTTTCTCTTCACAATTAGTATAGATATTGGAAGATCCAGAGACATTCTCAAGTGTTAATGACCATGATCTTTTACTGTCCCAAGACCATATTTGCCACCAATAGAAAATATTGTGACAAAAATAAAGTAAACCAAGAGTAATGCAATGTTAAGGGATAGGGAAAAGTGTGTATTTCTGAAGACTACTCCAAATCCTTAAATCTATCCATGGCTTGGACTACTCATTTACGCAGTCCAATAAACTCTTTTGAATAGGATAGCTTGAGTAGCTGTCTATAACTTAAAATCAAGAATTCTACATAACACAAGCATTAATGGTTAAGTGAAGTCTACAAAATTCCATTGTGAAGCTAGGCAATACTGTAGGCAAGTTCTTGCAAGTCCCTAAGAAGGCTGCTAGTTTTAGACTCACCCAGAGGGACTATCATCATATCTGCTTTCAACTTGAAATGGTGAGAGAGGGGCCAGCCCAGTGGCATAGCGGTTAAGTGCGCGTGCTCTACTCTGGTGGCCTGGGGTCTGCAGATTCAGATCCTGGGTGAGCACCAATGTACCGCTTGTCAAGCCATGCTGTGTTGGCATCCCACATAAAGTAGAGGAAGATGAGCACAGATGTTAGCCCAGGGCCAATCTTCCTCGGCAAAAAAGAGGAGGATTGGCAACAGACATTAGCTCAGGGCTGATCTTCCTCACACACACACAAAAATTGAAATGATGAGAGAGGAAACCAACTCATTACGCCAAGTGTAAGACAGTTTCATTGCTAATCAGAACTGTGTGAAACTGTGTTTGTGGCATCCCCAAGAGACTCAGGAATCACAGTCAGGACTGCATGTTGAACATGCCTATTTTCATTTCCTCAAGATTTTGAGACAGAGGACTTGAGATTGTTGAACTATTTTCTCTTGGAGGAGTGGAAAGGAATTTAAGGATGCAAAAAAGTATAAAGAGCTAATCAGGAAATATTATTATGGGTATACTTTTCTAGCATAATAATCTCTACATACTTCTAAGGAAAATCTTAATTCAGTCATCCATGCAAGTTGATAGACATTCTGACACAAGAAGCAAAATAGGTGTGACCATGCAAATTGCCAACCTTCAGAGCCGTTGGGTAATGAATAATGTAGAGATTGACATAGTCCAGTTGAAGTTCCTTCAGAGACTTTTCCAAGGCTGGTCGAACCAACTCTGGTCGAAGGAAAGTGAGCCAAAGCTGCAGAGGTTAAAGAATGCAAGTTGTGTTGGATTAAAACTTTTTGTCAGTTTTGTTTTTCTTGTTTCTCCTAAGAATTAGACATTTTCTACTTGTTGGAAACTGATGACCACAGAGGAAAAATACTTTTTCCTCCTGTCATTCCTTTTTGATCTGACTTACCCATAGACTCTCTTCTATTTTTTTGGATATCTCATCAGTGCCTCTGCTAACAACGGAAATAGATGATCTAAGAGATAAAATGTGTTTTCAAAAAATAGCCACCCCCATTATCTGAATTCTCTTTGAAGGAGTTTACAAAGCAGTTCACAAATATAACCTAGTTCTATCAAAAGTTCCATCTTATGGGGAATAAGTAATATCGCTTTAGTTTATAAAACTCTGGGCAAAAAGTGCTTCAAACATATTAGTATGTGCTGAATGTAATTCAAGACACTATCGCTACACGTTCTTTAATACACAAAGTGCCTCTTATGTTACTCCTTTTTATTGACGGAGGTGAGAAGTAAGATGTAGAAGGTTAAGAAATTGTAGTAAATTGCCCAGATGATAAGGAAAGCTATAATCTGATCACAGTTCTGTCTGATTCAGTAGTCCATACTAAGTCACACTGATATGGTATGAGTCTCAGAAAAGTAAATAGACTTTACCTTAAAATCATAAAATTGGAACACAGCGATAATGAGAAAGCCGTCATCATTTTTTGACACCAGATTTAATACATGAATAGGTATGAAGAGTTTGTACCAATAAACACAATTCACCAAACAACTACTGGTCCTATCATGTAATTGTCATGTCCACACTATCACGTTCACCCTCGTGCATGCACACACATCACATACACAGCACCTTTGAATTGCAGAATAGGTCTTCTCTCTTCACAGTGCCATCTTCAATTTTGCTTTGGATAGCCAGTCCAATTTCCTTTTCATTACCGTATGCATGAGCACAATCGATATGGCGGAACCCAGCATCTATACCTAATTTGGTGTCCTCCACAGCTTGGCTCTTAGGCACCTAGATGAGCAACCAAAGGTAGTAGTCAGATATCTACTGATTGAGACAGAGCTAAGGCACAACTTTTACCTTCCCAAGAAGCAACTTTTCCTCATGTCTTAGGTTAGTTCTCCATGTGTGGTGCTGAACCCATGGCAGTTTGCCTTGGTCTCTCCTGGTAAGTAATAAAAGTGGGGCATTTCAGAAACCCCTTCACTCCTGAGAAATCACTGTTTCATCACTACCATTGAAAGTCCCAAGACCATCCCCAGTTTCGGTGATTTGCTGAAAGAACCACGAGACTCAGCATATAGTTATACTCATGGATATGATTTATATTGTGAGAGGTTACTAAGCAAAATCAACAATGAGAAAAGGTACATGGAACGAAGTCTAAAGAAACAAGGTGATCACTTCTAAGAGTTCTGTCACACAGAACTAAAATAGTATATAAAATAGTATATAAAATAAAAATAGTATATAAGTTGAAAACATATATATTTAAGTTGTACAAAGTGATGTTTTCATATACATACACATTGTGAAATGATTGCCTCAATAAAGCTAATTAAAATACATATCACTTCACATAGTTAACTTCGTGTGTCTGGTGAGAACACTTGAGGTCTCCTCCCTTAGCAAATCTCAAGAATAGAATAGATTATTATTAACTATAGTCACCATGTGGTACATTAGTTCTCCAGAACTTATTCATCTTATAACTGACAGTTTGTACCTTTGAGCAACATCCTCCCATTTTCCCTACTGCCCCTTCCCCAGCCCCTGGTCACCACTCCTCTATTCTCTGCTTCTATGAGTTTGAGTTTTTAAAGTCCATATATAAGTGGGATCATGCAGTATTTGTCTTTCTGTATCTGGGTTATTTCTCTTAGCCTAATGTTCTCCAGGTTCATCCATGTGCTTGCACATGGCAGGATTACTTTCTGTTTTAGGGCTGAATAATATTTTATTTCTTTTTAAGTATTTCAGAATTTTTCTTTATTCAATGATATTGCTAAGAACTAGATACTTGGTCTAACTGCCCTCTGCTGGTCATGCTCTTTCCTTAGGTGGAGGGGCATTCAGAAGTTTATGGAAGTTGAACTTTCAGTGGTATCCTTGACCCTTCCCTCTCCTTCAGCCCACTTTGCACTACTAAGTAAACAAGTCCTGTCACCTGTCTCCAAAATGTCTCTGAATTTTTCGTTCTGTTTCATATGTGAAAAAGTGAGACGATGTTCAAGTACTAGTCCCTTGTCATACAACTAGTCTAAAGACAAAATTGGAAGGCTAACTTCTGGCTTCCGGTCTAGTTTCTTGTCCTTTTTGTTCCCTCTTATGTCCAAAGTCCAACTCTACCTATTTGCTTTATTCAAAAATACATTAACAAGGATGAGGAATTGAAACCTTGTCCTGGGAGACTGTAGCTTATTCCCTTCAATGATATTATAGTTCCCATTTGGATTAAATTTGCAAGCTGTAGGAGACATAGGAGGCAAACTACAGCTGGAGTATTTATTGCCTGGTACTCAGCAGGCTACCCCACAACAGAACAGCAACTCTCTCCCGTCCTTTGTCATTCACCACGTCTACAGCACCTTTTACCTCAAATATTTCTCTGGATCATGTCTTCTTGGTGAGAGGAAAGAATTTTTGAATTTAAGAACTATAAAGAGAGTGGCCGGCCCAGTGACATTGTGATTAAGTGTGCGTGCTCTGCTGTGGCGGCCCAGGATTCGCAGGTTCAGATCCCGGGTGCGCACTAACTCACCACTTGTCAAGGCATGCTGTTACAGCGTACCATACAAAATACAGGAAGATGGGCATGGATGTTAGCCCAGGGCCAATCTCCTCAGCAAAAAAAGAGGTGGGTTGGCAGTGGATGTTAGCTCAGGAGTAATCTTCCTCACAAAAAAGAAAAATAACAGGAATATAAAGAGAAACGACTCCCATGTACCCTCCCTCAAAGCAAGGCAGCTGATAGTCAGTGTTCTTGACTGCTGAGTTTCATTTCTTTTACCAACCTAGGAAATAGATGTAAACTTGATGAAAACCCACAATCATCCGTAGGTGATCGCACAGTCAGACTCTGACGCAGAGTGAACATCACTACTTTGTCTCTTTGTAAAAGGAACAGTTCTAGCCTCATTACAAGAACCAAGTGAGCCTCCCAGAGTCCCCTAGGAACTTAATGACTTGACAACCCAAGTCTGCTTCCACTCACGCTAGGTGTATTTTCTTTTGAATGCTCTAACCCAAGACCACTATTCTTACCTCTTCAGGTGTATAGGTCCCAAATCCCAGTACAGGGATGAAGTGGCCATCATTTAGTTCCACACTCCAAACTTTGGGATCCATTGTCTGTTGATTCTCTCTCTAAGTAGACTCTGCTTTATTCTTCTGCCCTCACAGGTTATATGAATAACAGGAGGGTAACATTCGAGTCCACAGTCCAGCTGTTAGCAGACGTACTGTAGAAGGAGCAAGGTTAAACAAAAGCCATGGAGTGAGAAGAGAACGGGATCCAGATAACTTGTTGGTTTTGTTTTATCAAAGAAGAATCTTAATAAACTATTACATAATGATAAAGAAATCATTAATTTCTTGTACAGTAAATTTTTCATTGAGGATCCCCATATTAATAAATTATTACAAGAGATTTCCTGAGCAATTATTGACCAGCTGTTAGACTAGAAGCCTCCAGATTCCAATCTCTTTTTCTGTTTTTGCCATGAGGAAGCGCTTTCTTGATCATACATCATTTGAAACAATTAATTATCTTATACCACACACACGCACACACAATTTAGAAGAATGATTAATGAACATTTTTCAAAAATTTGACCCTCCATTAAGGATTTAAGCTTAAAATTGAAAGATAATTTGCCTTTATACCTTTCTCATCAGTAAATTATTTTTGCTTCTTTTAGTTTGCTTTATAAAAAGAATATCCCATCCTGACAAGCATGCAATCTTGAAATGGGTGCTCAAAAAAGACATTTTGGCAAGGTGATTATTGGAGTATTAATTATTAACAGTTTTTATATATCTTTTGCAGTATGAAACCAGAATTTTAGAGCGTGTATAAATTTCATCCAGTTATAACTTTTTGATGACTATCATGATGTAACTACTCAAAGAATTGATGAATATTTTATGTAATTTATTATCTTGCTTAACAGTATTCATGAAAGAAAAACCTGGAAATAACTTAAATTACAATAAATTCTGATGAGTTAGGGAAATTATGATGCATTTATACAATAGGATATTATGAAGGCATTTAAAATTGAACATATAGATTGATGTTAGCAAAATGGTGGACTAGGGAGCTCTGAGTTCTCTCATGTAAACATAAGGAAACAAGCAGATAATACTGAAAAAACCTTATAGGAGGTCTGGAAAACATTCAAACAAAGATCTACAGCAACAAACTGAACACCCAGTTAGGAAAAAGCCAGATTCTAAGTGGTAGGAAATCTCATTGTGTTTTACACACACTTGCCCCTCTCCTTGCCTGGTATAGTGCAGGCTTGGTTTGTAAGAGGCATCAGCCCAGTTCCCAGTTACCTCTCTCAAACCAGAATGATCATAGAAGATAATATTTTTAATGTTCTAAAGTACTTGGGAGCTGCCTGAAAGACTGCTGTCTGTTTCGCTTCACTCTAAGCTTTAACTGTAAAGTAGCTTGAGTGTATCATTGTTCCTACACAGGGACTATACATGCACAGATGCCAGGGTCAAGAGATTAAGAGTGAAGACATAGAAGAGACCACAGGAAGCTCTGAGGAGAACCTAGGCTGTGTATTTTTTGGATGTGAAGATATTCCAAAAGCAGACAAGTATTCAGGAGAATTAAGAAATTCACACACAAGACAGGAAAGATACATGCTCAGAAGAGAACTGAATAGACCTTCAGCTTTCATGTTGGGAAGATCCCAAGACAAGGAGTATGCCAAGCTAACAAGTGAAGGATTGTCAGTGAACAGAGCAAATCTGTGAAGAATAGGAGAGATGCCCAATTAAACACACACAGAAACACAAAAAACAACCCAAAACCATTATTGACTAAAATGAAAAGAAAATTGGCAGAAACCATTCCTGAACAAGCAGAGGCATTGGGCTTAGTAGATAAAGAGTATTAAAACAACTGTCTTATATACCTTGAAATTGCTACAGCAAAAATTTGAGAAAGAACTAAACAGGTCAGGTGTTCATAAAAGAATTAATGATAAGATCAAAAATGATATAAATTATGGAGCCTAAAGAACAGAAAGAAAAAAATGAAGAAATGTGAACAGACCCTAAAGGACTTATAGGACACCTTCCTGTGAACTATATACACATTATCAGAGTCCCAGAAGGAGAAAAGAGACAGAATCTGACAGAGAGATTATCTGAAGAAATAATGAACAAAAACTCTCCAAACTGGATGTAAGACATGAAAAATCAACAAATCCAAGAAATTCAAAGAATTACCAGTAGGATAACCTCTAAGATATCCACACCAACATACATTATATTTAAACTATTATAAAACAAAGACAAGAGACTATCTTGGACAGCAAAGGAAACATGACTCATCAGGTACAAGGGATCCTGGATAAGATAATAAACAGATTTCTCATCTGAAACCTTGGATGACACAAGACGTTGGAATTATATATTTTAAGTGCTAAAAAAAAAAATGTCAACCAAGATTCCATATCAGGCAAAAATGTCCTTTACAAATAAGGGAGTAATTAAGACAATCTCATATAAACAAAAGCAGAAAGAGAGTATTATCATTAGAGCTTCCCTACAAGAAATGAAAAGGAAGTCATTCAGGCTCAATTAAAGGACACTAAGTGGTAACTCAAAGTGGTATGAAGATATAAAGACCTATGGGAAAAATAAATCTATGGTCAAATATAAAGTCATGTACTTTCATAATTTTGGTTTTTAACTCTACCTTTTCATTCTATAAGATTTAAAAATTGAATGCGTAAAAATAGTTAATCATCTACACTAATATGTACACAATGTATAAAGATGAAATTTGTGTCATCAATAACATAGTTAGGAGAATGGAACAGAACTGTATAGGAGTAGAGTTTTGCATGACATTGCAGTTAAATTGGTATCAATTCAAAATAGATCATTATAAATTTACCATATTATCTGTAATCTTCATGATAACCACAAAGAAAATAACAATAGAATATACACAATTGAAATTGAGAAGGGAATCAAAACACATTACTATCAAAAACCATCTAAACACAAAGGAAGATAGTAATGGATAAAATAAGGGACTTAAGTCATACAGAAAAAAAATACAATGTAAGTCTTTCCCTATCAGTGATTAATTTACATGTAAATAAGCTCCGCTAGCAAAAAGGTATAGATTGACCGAGTTCATTGGGAAAAAAAAAAAAAAAAAAAAAAAGCAGGATCAAGAATATATTGTCTAGAGGCCAGCCAGGTGGAGTAGTGGTTAAGTGAGCGTGCTCTGCATCAGTGGCCCAGGATTCACAGGTTTGGATCCCGGGCACATACCAACACACCGCTTGTCAAGCCATGCTGTGGTGGCATCCAATACAAAGTAGAGGAAGATGGGCACGGATGTTAGCCCAGGGCCAATCTTCCTCAGCAAAAAGAGGAGGATTGGCATTGGATTTTAGCTCAGGGCTGATCTTCCACACAAAAGCAAAAAAATATATGTCATCTATAAGATAATCGCTTTGGCTCTAAGGACACAAATAGTGGGAAAGGGAAAAATGGTAAAAGATATTCCATGTATATAGTAACCAAAAGAGAGCTGGTGGGATATACCAGTTACAGACAAAATAATTAACACAAAATTTGTGACAAGAGACAAAAAATGGTTATTGTATATTCATAAAAGGGTCAATCCACCAAAAATATAGAACAATTATAAACTTATATGTACTAAACATCAGAAATCCAAAATATATAAAAACTACATTTACAGAATTGAAGGAAGAAATAGATACCACTACAAAACTAGTTGGAAACTTCAATACACCACTTTTCATAATGGATAGTATAATATGACAGATTTTAAAAAGATAGAAAAAAGAGTACTATGAACAACTATATGCCAAAAAATTTAGAAATCCTTATGAAATGGGAAATTCCTAGAAACACAGAACCTATGAAGAATGAACCATGAAGGAATAGAAAATCTGAGTAGACATATAACTGTTAAGGAGAGTGAATCAGTAACCAAAAACCTCCCAACAAAGAACAGCCAAAGACCAGATTGCTTCACTAGAAAATTCCACAAAGCCTTTAAAGCAGAATGAACAGCAATCATTCTTAACTCTTGCAGAACATTGAAGAGCAGGGAACACTTCCTAACTCATTCTATGAGGCCCGCATTGCCTTCATACAAAGCCAGACAAAAATACTATGAGAAATAAAATCAAAGACAAATGCTCCATATGGTTTGAGAATTAAAAACTATCAAAAAAATACTAGAAATTGAATTCAGCAGAATAAAACGTAATTTATACCATGACCAACTGTGATTCATTCTTAGAATGTAAGGATTGTTCAACATGAAAAAAATTAGTAAATGCAATACACCACATTAATAGGATGAAGGAAAAACCACACGATCATCTCAGTTGATGTGGAAAAAGCACTTGACAAAATTCAACACCTTTTCATGATTAAAAAAAAAAACTTAATAATCAAGAAAGAGAAAAAATCTTCCTCAATATAATGAAACCCATATATGAAAAACCCACAACTAACATCATACTGGGATGTTGAAAGACTGAAAACATTTCCCCTTAAGATCAGTAATATGAAAAATTTGCCTGAGTTTGCCACTTGTAGTCAGCATAGTTTTGCAAGTTCCAGTTATAGTAATAAGACAAGAAAAAGAAATAATATGCATGAAAAATGGCAAGAAAAATGTAAAATTATCTCTGTTCCAAGATGATATGATCTTAGATGTAGAAAACTCTAAAGATCAAACAACAAAGTGTTGGAACTAATAAACAATTTCAGCAAAGGTGCAGGATACAAAATCAACACAGAAAACTCAATTTCATTACTATACGCTAACAAAGAACAATATGAGGGGGCAATTTATAAAAAGAATTCCATTTACAAGAGCATGAAAATGAATAAAATACTAAGAAGAACTTAACTAAGGAGGCAAAAGACTTGTAAAATCAAAATTACAAAAAGTTGCTTAAGGAAATTATAGAAGACACAAAAATATGTAAAGACAATCATATTCATAAATGAAAGATTTAATACTAGGATGATGATATTAACCAAAGTGATTTACAGGTTGAAAGATTTCCTTATATATCTCAATGTATGTGTATCTCCTCTCTTCTCACAGTGGATTTCCTGTACCCCCATGTAATGAC